ACTGATGCTACTTTCTTCTTTTGGACCTTACACTTCATTTGTTTTCCTTTATTCTTCTCCTTCCTCCTCCTCCCCTCTTCATATTCCTCCTCCTCCTCCTCTTCTTCTTCAATTATCAGAACTTTACACTTTGTTTTGTTTTGTTTTGTTTTTTGAATTATCAGACCAGAAATTTAAAAATAACTATGATGAATATGCTTGGAGTTCTAATGGGAACAGTGGAAAATATGCAAAAACAGGTGTATAATCTAAGCCGATAACACTCTAAGAAAGAATACAAAATAAGTGCTCAAAAATACTATAACAGAAATGACTGATGCCTTCAATAGATTTATTAGCAGACTTGGTATGGCCAAGAAAAGAATCAGTGATCTTGAAGCTATGTCCATAGAAATTTCCCAAACCCAAAAAGAAAGGGCGAAAAGATGGGGGAAAAAAATGAAACAAAATATACAAAGACTGTATAGAACAACTACAAAGGCAAAACATACACATAATGGGAATATCAGAGGGAGAAGAAAAAGAGAAAGGAACAGAAGAAGTATTTGAAGTAATACTGGCTTAAGATTTTCCAAAATTAGGGCTGAGGCTATAACTCAGTGTCAGAGTGCTTGCCTAGCACACGTGAGGCACTGGATTTGATGCTTAGTACTACATAAAAATAAATAAATAAATAAATAAATAAGGGCATGCTGACCATCTATGACTACAAAAAATTTTTTAAAGATTTTCCAAAATTAAAGAAAGAAACTAAGCTGCAAATCTTTAAGGAAGATCAGAGAACATCATGTAGGATAAATATTAACAAGCTAGGCATATCATATTCAAGTAGAAAAAAAAAACAAGAAGAAAGAGGAAGTCTGTAAAAGTTAGAGGGGAAAAACTCTACCTCTATGGAGGAACCATGTGAGCAAAAAGATAGTGGAATAAAATATTTACAGAATTAAAAGGGGGAAAATGCCACTACCTAGATTTTTTTTTTATCCAGTGAAATTGTCCTTCTAAAGCAAAGGAGAGAAAATGACTTTCTCAAACAAAAACTGAATTTGTTGTCATTAGACCTCCTTTGCAAGAAATGTTAAAAGAGCTTCTTCAAAGTGAAGGAAAATTATATAGACCAGATACTCAACTTTATACAAATAAAGAAATAGTATCATAGAAGGAATAACAGAAAAGCATCTGTTCAAAATAATAATAGTAACAACATATTAGAGATTATAGCACATGGATAGGTAATATGAATGGAGTGAGTGGTTAAGAGGTGGAAGGGAGAGATTGCTATTTTAAGTGTCCTGCACTACCCAAGAAACAGTACAATAAAGTGGACTTAGATTTGTTGTAAGTATATATTGCAAACTTTAGGGAAAATACTCTAATTTTAAAAAATGATATACTGGGACTTGAAACCAGGGTTTTGCACATGCCAGGCAAGTATTCTACTGCTGGGCTACATCCCAAGCCCTAGAATTCTTTTTTTTTTCCAAGTCCAGTTGATTTGCTGAGAGAAGGTGAAACCATATAAAAGTCTCAATTAAAACCAGAGTAGGGGGCTGGGGTTGTGGCTCAGTAGTAGAGTGCTTATCTAGCATGTGCAAAGCACTGGGTTTGATCCTCAGCACCACATATAAATAAGTAAATAAAATAAAGATTCATGAACAACTAATAAAAATGTTTTAAAAAACCAGAGTAGGCATAACAATGAGAGAAGATTTAAAAAATCAATAAAGAATAACTAACATGAACACAGTCACAAATAGAGTAGACATTAATCTAATTATATGAATGATCAATTTAAATACAAATAGTTTAAACATATAAATTAAAAGAGTGTCAGAGTGAATAAAAAACCAAAATTCATCTGTAGGACAGGAACCCCTACATTAGATATACAGGTACAGCTAGATAAGGGGGCTGGGGGTGTGGCTCAGGGGTTAATTTCCCCTAGGTCCAATCCCTGGTTGGGAGGTGGGGGATAGAAATAAATAAATAAATAAATAAATAAATAAATAATGAAGGGATGAAGCTGGGTGCTATAGTGAATGCCTATAATCCCAGCTACTTGGGAGGCTGAAGCAGGAGGATCACAAATTCTAGGTTGACCTGGGCAACTTAGTAAGACCCTGTCTCAAAAAATTTTTTTTTAAAGTAAAAAAAAAACTTATAAAAGGGTTGGAAATGTAGCCTGGTGGTAGCATGCCCTAGATTCCATTGCCAGTATTGCTGGAGGGGTCTGGGGGTGGGGTGCAGGAATAGAAAAAGATAAATCATGCTAACACTAACCAAAAGAAAGCAGTAATAATTATTTTAATTCCAAGGTAGACTTCAGATTTTCAGAGAAAATTTCTCTCTTTTTCTTTTTAAACATGGACAGAGGTAAGCATTACATAATGATAAAAGGGTCAATTTTCTACAGAGACTTAAGAATCCTTACCATGTATGCACCTAATAGTGAAGCATCAAAATACATGTGGCAAAAACTGATAGCACTGCAAGAATGACAGACAAATCAACAATTATAGATTATAGTTGTGAACTTCAGTATCCTCTATCAGTAAGTGACAGATACAGGAGGCAGAAATTCAGTAAATATATAGTTGAACTGAACAGCACCACAAATCAACTGGATTTCATTGACATTTATAGAACATTTCATCCAGCAACAGTAGAATGCACATTCTTCTCAAGCTCCCAGGGAGCATTCACCATGATGGACCAAAATCTGGGCCATAAAACATAACTGAACAAATTTAAAATAATAAAAGTCACGCAAACTATGCTCTCATATCACATTGGAATTAAATGATAAATCAGAGAGAGAAGACATATTATTAGCATCAGAAATGAAAGAGGGGCCATCACTACTGATCCCATGGACATTAAAAGGATAATAAAGAAGCTGGATGTGATCATGAACTCCTGTAATCCCAGTGACTCAGGAGGCTGAGGCAGGAAGATCACAAGTTCAAAGTCACCCTCAGAGACTTAGTGAATCCCTAAGCAATTTAGCAAAAGCCTGTCTCAAAATAAAAAATAAAAAGGGCTGGAGATACAACTCAGTGGTAAAGTACCTGGGTTAAATTCCCCAGTACTAAAAACAAAAATATTAAAGGGATATTTATGAATATTCCTAAGCACACAAATTTGATAATTTAGATGAACTGAATTAATTCCTTGAAAGACATAAGCTACCAAAATTTACATGGAGAAATAAGTAATCTGAATAGGTTATTCCTATTAAAGAAACAAATAATAATAATAACAACAACAATAATAAACAACTTTCTAAAAAGAAAGCACCAGGCCCAGATGGTGTTAGTAGTAAATTCTACCAAACTTTAAAGGAAGAAATGATACAACCTTCTGTAACCTCCTTCAGAAAATACAAGCAGAGAGAATATTTCCTGACTTATTCTGTGAAGACAGTGTTACCCTGATTCTAAAACCAAATAATGACACTATGAAAATGGAAAACAATGGGCTGGGATTGTGGCTCAGAGGTAGAGAGCTCACCTAGCATGTGTGAGGCACTGGGTTCGATCCTCAGCACCACATAAATATAAAATAAAGACATTGTGTCCACCTATAACTAAAAAAATACATATTTTTTAAAAAAAGAAAATGGAAAACAACAGACCAATATCTCCCATGAACATATATGCAAAAAGGCTAAATATTAGCAAGTTGAATTCAAAATATATATAAAAAGTATTATATGCCATAACCAAGTGGGGTTTATCCTAGATAAGTAAGATTGGTTTACTAATTGAAAATCAATTAATGTAATCACATCAAACATCATGATAATAGCAATAGAAAATGCCAAAGAATTGACCAGAAGACTTCTGAAACCAAAAAGTAATTATAGCAAGGTCATAGGCTATAAAGTTCATAAACAAAGTCAGTTGCTTTCCCATATACCAGTTGTTGCAATTTGAACTTTAAAACATTTGCATTAGCACCAAAAAATCATAAGCATAAATCTAACAAAATATATACAGGATCCATATGAAGAAAATTGTAAAACTGATCAAAGAAGTCAAAGATCTCAGTAAACAGAGAGATTTCATGTTCCAGGGATAAGAAGATTCAATATTGTTAAGGTGTCATATTTCCTAACGTGATTCAATAAAGGTCCCAGCAAGTTACTATTTGGGATACTGGTAAATTTGATTCTAAAGTTTATAGGGTAAGATAAAAAGCCCAGAATAGCCAACACAATACTGCAGAAGAATAAAATGACACTATCCAACTTTAAGACCTTCTATAAAGCTCTGATGGTCAAGACAGTGTAGTACTGGCAAAAGAATGGACAACTTGGTCAATGGAACAGAAGAGACAGCCCAGAAATGGACCCAGAAAAATATAGTCAATTGATCTTCGACAAAGAAGCAAAGAGAATTTAATGGAGAAAGGATAGTCTTTTCAACAAATGGTGCTGGAACTAGACCTCCATATTTTAAAAAATGAATCTAGACATAGTCCTTACACCTAAATTAATTTGCCAAATTAATTCATAGTGGATCTTAAACCTGAAATTCAAAACCATAAAACTTATAGAATGATAGCATAGGAAAAAAAATCTAGGCGACTTTACAGTTGGCAATCAGTTTTTAAGATACAATACCAATGTACAATGTGTGAAAGCAAAAAATGAAAAAGTAGACTTTATTAAAATTAAATTTTCTTCTTTGTGAAAGACATTGTTAAGAAAATGAAAGGAAAAAATCATAGATGAGGAAAACATATTTGCAAAATACATTTCTGGTAAAAGACTTGAATCCCAAAATATACAGAGAACTCTTAAAACTGAACAATAAGCAAACAAACAACCCTTTGTGTGTGTGTGTGTGTGTGTATGTGTGTGTGTGTGTGTCTGTATGGTGTTAGAGATCAAATCCAGGGCCTTGTGCCTTCAAGGCAAGCACTCTACCAACTGAGCTATATCCCCAGCCCAAAGAACCCAATTTTTAAATGGGCAAAACAAACAGACACCTCACCAAAGAAGATACCCAAATGTCAACTAAATATACAAAAAGAAACTCAAGGTTGTATGTCATTAGGGAATTGAAAATTAAAGCAAAAACACTACGCTCTTGTTAGAATGGCTAAAATCCAAAACAAATAACCTTGACAATGTCAAATGCTGATGAGGCTGCAGAGTAACAAGAATGTTCTTCCATTGCTGGTGGAAATGCAAACGATATAACCACTTTGGAAGATAGTACGGAAGTTGTTACAAAGCTAAACATAGTCTTATTGTATGAACCAGCACTCATGGTCGAGATATTTACTCAATTTTATTAGAACAAGCAGAACTCCCATCTCCTCATTCTTGCTTGTCTATAACATTGATGACCAGATATGGCTTTGACAGGTAATCCAGGAGCAAGTTTCTCAGTCCAAAATGCCAACTACCCTCTTTGGTTGTTACTGGAAATCATGCATTCCACTGAGTGCCATTTTTTCTTTTTTAACTAACAACCAAGAACTAAACAGATTGCTTACCTAAAAACTTTTTACCAGAAAAGGGTGTATTTAGGTTTCTCAAAGTCAACAAAACCTTAAGTCAGAATTCCGCCAAAAAGCCCAATTGCCATGTAACCCTGGATAATACACATTGCCCCCAGTAAGTCTGTGAACAGAGACAGCTGGAATTCCTCAGTTCTCAGGAGGCATATTCTGTTACTAGTTTAACATCAGAGTTGTCTTGAATTAGTGAACAAATTTAAAAATAATTAATAAAGTCTTAGTACAGTTTTAGATTTATAGAGTTATGAATTCCTTCCTGCTCCCACCTTTACCCGAGCCCTACCCCCACATGGTTTCCCCTATTGTTAACATCTTGCATTAGTGTGGTACATTTGTTACAATAAATAAATAAATATTGATACATTATTATCAACTATAGTCCAAAGTTCACGCTTCCTGTTGTACATAGATACTTCTGTGGCTTTTAATAAATGCATAATGACATGCACTTATAAACCATTACTGAATCATATGAAATAGCTTCACTACCATAAAAATCCCATTTCATCTACTAATTCTTCTCCTCCCTTCCCCTAAGTCTCTTTTCTACTATCTCTATTATTTTGCCTTTTTGAAAATGTCAAATAATTGGAGTCATACATCATGTGGCCTTTCATACTGGCTCTTTCAGTTAGCAATATACATTTAAATTTCATGCATGTGTTTTCATGGTTTGGTAGCTCATTTATGTTTATCTCTGAATAATATCCCATTGTAAGGAAGTATCATTCTTTTTTTATTAATTTAATGTTATTTTTTTACACAAATGGAGTACAATTTTTCATTTCTCTGATTGTATGTGACGTAGAGTCACACCATTCCTGCAATCATACCCATACATAGGGGTAATAATGTCCATCTCGTTCCATCATCTTCCCCCCTCACATACCCCCTCCTCTCCCCACCCGGGCTCAATCCAAAGTTCCTCCATTCTTCCCTTGCCCTGCCCTCCACCGTAATGGATCAGCATCCACTTATCAGAGAAAACATTCAGCCTTTGTTTTTTTGGGATTGGCTTACTCTGCTTAGCATGATATTCTCCAATTCCATCCATTTTTTACCCGTAAATGCCATGATTTCATTTTTCCTTAAAGCTGAGTAGTATTCCATCGTGTATATATGTATCACAGTTTCTTTATCCATTCATCTATTGAAGGGCATCGAGGCTGTTTCCATAGTTTAGCTATTGAGAATTGAGCTGCTACAAACATTGAGGTGGCTGCATTGCTGTGGTGTGCTGATTTTAAGTCCTTTGGTTATAGACAGGGGTGGGATAGCTGGGTCAAATAGTGGTTCCATACCAAGTTGTCTAAGGAGTCTCCATACTGCTTTCCAAAATGGTTGTACCATTTTGCAATCCCATCAGCAATGAATCAATGTACTTTTCCCCCCACACCCTTGCCAGCACTCACTGTTGCTTAAATTCTTGATATTTGCCATTCTGACTGCAGTGAGATGAAATCTTAGATTGGTTTTGATTTGCATTTCTCTAATGCAATTTTTTCATAAATTTGTTGATCAATTGTAGTTGTTCTTCTGTGAAGTGTCTGCTCATTTCATTAGCCCATTTATTGATTGGGTTATTTGTTTTTTGGTGTTAAGTTTTTTGAGTTCTTTATATACCCTAGAGATTAATGCTCTGTCTGATGTGTGTGTGGTAAAAATTTGCTCCCATTCTGTTGGCTCTCTATTCACCTCACTGATTGTTTCTTTTGCTGAAGTAGCTTTTTAGTTTGAATCCAATGATATAATGCCAATGTATAATGTGTGAAAGAAAAAAAAACTTGTTACATACTAGCATACAAGGTACTCCTTCTAGCAACTACTAAGGTGGTTCAGAAATGGAATTCTGTCAAACCTAAGTCTTGGGACTTTTGCCCCATCCAGGCACCCCTTTGGCTTTCATTTTGCTTTTGTGACCCCATCTCTTTGTAACTAGTGGATATTATGGAGAAATGCCAATGTTTAGTAATTCTGCATCCCCTTCTCTTTTGTGCTGTGTTCATAGACTGCCCTTCCATCCATATTGGGCTTCCAGTCCCACGTTACTCTCAAAGAAAAAGTGACCAGAAGGGACATCTTTCAGGCCTACAAAAAGTTCGTTGGGGACTGCGGCCAGACAAGCCACAGCAGGAACAACTGAACAACCCAGGGAGAGGAACAAGCAGTCAGCACGGCAGCGTGGATTTTATCGGCAGGACTCGTGAGTTCCTTGATGGCACATATATTATGGGGATTCATCCTCCTAGTGGGTCCAGAGGGGCACAGCAGGGCAGAGAAGATTCTCTGGAGAATGTGGGTAATGCCCTTGTGGCTCAACTTTACTGTCAGGGGCCCTACTGCTCTGCTTCCCTTGCTGATCAGCCTCCGTGCCCATGAACGCTTACAATCAGCCTGAAGCCCTATGTCTCCCTATGTGGATTTTGAAACCTCCACATACATGGGTATGTGTATGTCAAGGTTTAATTCTTGGAATTATTTCTCTCTAAATTCCTAAATACTACACGGTTGTCTTAAGAACCAAAAACAAACATGAGAATTTTGCCTGGGATGTTGCACTCAATCAATTTAACTCCTTGTTATATATATTGAACGTAAAGGGTTGGGACAGAATTGTCCAGTCATCTTGCATCATAGGGACCCCTCAGAATCATTCTTCCAGGACCACCAAGCTCCCCACCCCCAGTCCTTTCTCTATTCCTGGAGAAATCAGTTATGGGCTAATTAAAAGTCAGTATCTTGCTCCTTCCTGTGGAAAGAAAACTGTTAATCTTTAAAGGAGTAAAAAAGGATTAGAATCCTAGAGAATAGCTGTGACATTTGATTCTTTCTAGGCTTTAAAATGTTTCTGGGTACATGATTTCACCCTCAGCATCTTAAATCTACCTAACAATGGTATTAAATTGGTTTCTACTATATATTTGTACCATCTTGAGCATGGCAAAATGAGTTTGTTTTACCATCTACACTTTCAAAAGAGTCTCAGATCAGTGACTGTGTCTTAGTGTCCCGGTAGGAAACCTATGCACCTCCTAAAGGTCACTGGAGCCACACTCTATCATGCAGATTCCTATACCAAATAAGACTCCTCATTGGCACCAAATCTACCAGGGGCCTGTGGCTTTTCCAGAGTAAATATGTCTGTGTTAAAGATGGAGTAATGAGGAGTCCTTTAAAAGAGTCCAGAATAAGAGATGTACTCTGATTAAAATATACATGCACACATAAAAATGCACATGCATAAGTACACACACACACACACACACACACACACACACACACACACTCAAGAGTAGAAACATTAGAGGCTAAGAAGAAACCAAACCTGGTGGGCAGACCTCCTGCTCCCCATGTGAGTTCTGGATGCCAAAAGCATACTGATATGGTCTCATCCCCCAGAGCCCCCCACCTACATTCAGGGGTGAGGTTGCCCTTTGAAAATTGAATCTGCTGAGTCCCTTCTGAATTGGAGAAGAGGAAAGAAGTTTAGAATTGATGTTCTATGCTCAAAGGGTTTGGAGGAGGTAACACACCATATCACAAAAGTGGCTATGAACAGTGGGGTTTTGGTTGCTTTGGTGGTTTCTGATCCAGTTAAGGGAACATTGGTTTAAATTGGAAACCAAAGGAGAGAGAACCAAAGGAATCCTTTGGTATATTTGTTCATTAGATACATTTCCTTTGTGGCCAATACACATACCGTGTGCATTATTGACTGGTCCCTGGCATGACTATGGAACAGGGGAGAGAATGGGAAAGCCTAGTAGGTCAGGACACTTCAGGTCATGTCTCCCAAGCTGGAATGAAGTAAGGATCCCTTTTGAAGAGAAAATAATTTCTTCTTATGATTTCATGAAAATGCATTTGTATTTATTCTTCATCCTTTTTGTCATTTGACGCCTTAAACTCTGGATCTCTAGTAATCACCATTGTAAACAGCATTCCCTCCTCAAGCACAAGAGTTATTCTCCTAAAAGCAAAATAAAAAAACTCTATTAGAAGAAAACCCTGAGTTAGTAACCCCTTAAGGAGAACTCATGTGGAGCACCCTAGTTTGTAAGTGAACAAATGAAAACTCTGATAAGTATAAAGTTTTAATAAACTTATTTTTTGAGAGTTACCTAAAATGGACTCCAGCCTCCTCATCCACATCCTGGGGAGGTCTATGCTTTTGCTTAAATGTCTATGGGTTTCCAGAGGCTTCTAGTCTCAGTATCATCCTGGTTCTGAGTTCATGCCTGTGAGCTCAGTCTTGCTATGTTTTGCCTCCTGTATCTGCTCACTGCTTTCACCTCAGCAACAGTTCAGTTGTGGAGTTTCGTTCTTTGGTTTCCATTAAATTGGTGATTTAAGGCCTATGTGTGAGCAGCAGGCTTTGTGGAAGTTTTGGATTCATGAACCTTGCAGAGATGCACAATCTTGAACTAGGTATCCCTATTGTTAAAAATTCTCTGACCACCAAAAATTTGTTCTTTGACACTTTGCTCTGTAGTATCTCAGTCTTCTACCATATTTTTGGTGCTTCCTAGCCCACCATCACTGCGCTTTGGGGTTTTCTCACAGTACCTTGTTGCTTGGTTTCTGAGCTCCCTTTTGGCTTAGAAAGGAGAAGAAGCAACTGTGTTGGTTTTAAATGATAATATCTTTACTTTATTGCATTCATATTCACAAAAACAAAATAATAAAAACAACATGCAAGTGGAAGACTGAGACATTTTATACTTCCTAAATTATGAATTATGTGGAACATTCAATTGCCTTCTACCATTTTGGTTCTCTCAGAGTGGGTGAACACCAGCAAGATGGGTGTCATCATTCTCTTTTCCCTGTGGGGTCTCCTACAAATGCTCAGGGTCTTTCTAATTTCACACCGAAGTTGATACCCTTTCTAAAACTGGAGGAGCACAGTGACCTGGGGGACTCAGAAGAAAAAGGCTGAGAGATCCTTTGTTTAAATTTCTCAGCGAGCTTTGGCAGAAGTCCCCCTGCTCCAATATACTTGAGACCTTTCTGATCATGCATGAGCCTTTTTGAAAAACTAGCCATGCACATGTCAGCGTCTCCCAATCCCCCTGACCCAGCTGAGCTTTCTTCCTTCCTCAGAGCCAGGGCCAAGGTGACTTTCCTTGAGCTTAATCTGCCTCTGCTTTGCTCCACTTTCTTTGACTGATTCCCCACACCTTCTTGTTCTAGTTCATCACAGTGACTCAGCATTTCTTTATAACTCTTAGACTTACAGTTTTCAAGAAGGTTCTCCATACCCTAGAATTTTACATATGGAGACTCATGATTGAGAAGGTAATTTTATCACAGTATCAGAAACCTAGTTGAGCTGGATTAGGCAAGGAAGAAGAGACAGAAAGAGAGAGGGGAGGGAGGAAGAGAAATCACTTATATTGTAAAAGCAAAGGAGTTTCTTTCTTTTTTTTTTTTAAAGAGAGAGTGAGAGACAGAGAGAGAGAGAGAGAGAGAGAGAGAGAGAGAGAGAGAGAGAGAGAGAGAATTTTTTAATATTTATTTTTAGTTTTCGGCAGGCACAACATCTTTGTTTGTATGTGGTGCTGAGGATCAAACCCGGGCCGCACGCATGCTAGGCAAGCGCGCTACCGCTTGAGCCACATCCCCAGCCCAGCAAAGGAGTTTCTTACAGTCCCAAGACAGTCAGAAAAGTCAGGCTCCGGTCGGAGGATATGACATCTTCTCATTATTTCTCTCTGGGGCTGCATGGTCTCCTCTGCTTCAGCTCCAGGTCTGCTTCATTCCTGTTTCCCTGCAGCTCAGCCCTTTCTGCCTGTTTGTGCCCTAGGCTAACTACAGTTTATATGTTCTCTCTCCTAGGAACCATTAGGAAAGGCCTAGCTAACTCAGAGACCTGGTTCAAAATTTCCAGGCTTAGGTCAGGTGTCCAATTAATTAACTGCTCCTGATCCAATTAATTGTGGCCAAGGGCATAGGTCATGTGTTACCCAACAACTGCTCCCAGCAACTCATCCTTATGAAGCTGGAAGACACGGGCTGGACAGATAGACCCATATGCACAAGTGGGAGGAATCTCTCCTCTTCCTCTCTCAGAAAGTATATTTGAAGTTTATGTACAGTTTCAGAGAAAAGAATTTGCCCATGAAACTAGTACTGGGAGCCTCCAAGTTCCCTCTCAAAGGCTTTCATGCCAGGTGTAGTGGTGCTTAACATGCTTGTAATCCTAGCTACTCGGGAGGCTGAGACAAGAGGATGGCAAATTCAAGGCCAGCCTGGGACAACCTAGTGAGACCCAGTCTCAAAGTAAAACATAAAAAGGGCTGGGATGTAGGTCAGTGGTAAAGTGCCCCTGGGTCCAATCCTCAGTCCTAGGGCATGGGGAGAGGCCTGCTTAATACAATGGGCAAGAATGACTTTAGCACTCTCAGGTTTTGTCTCCCACTCCCCAATACTCCGTGGCCTCAAGCCACTCAAAGCAACTCCTGCTACCCCCCTGCTCAACCCCCAGCTCCATTTCCTTGTTCTTGGCTCCTTTCTTGCTGCAGCTAATCCCAGCTGATGTGCTCATGAGTGTTAATCAGTCAAATTCACTCACCCAGCAAATATTTATTGAGTGTCCTTGCTGTGTGAGCCCCATGTCAGGGGCCAGCAACGTGATGTGAACAAGACAAACCCTGACCTCTAGAGCTGACTATTTAGTATTTAATGTGGAGCCTAAGAGAGATGAATCTCTGAAATCCTGATGCTGACTTCCTGGAGGTCAAAAATACCTCCTGAGTCTTTACTAGGAGTTGAAGTCTCCACTCTGTTTCCTGACACTCATCTCCACTGAGCTTGTGTTTCTCCCAGTAACTCCTTGTTGAATTCATTCCTCCATTTGTGCCCATGCTGTGTGACTCTTATAGTTGGCTAGGTGGCATTTCTCATTATGCAGATGAACTTGTAAGTTACTGTATGCATGTGGGATCTGCAGTGCATTAGAGAAACCCTGATGAGGTAGGCCAGCTTGTGGTAAACTAAACTTTCTGTGGGCAGGAGGGAGGGGCATCAAAGCAGGGGAAGGACAGGGGTGTTTAGAAACTGGAAAAGACTGAGCCCTTGGAATGCTCAGAGAGGTCAGGCTGGTGACTGGTAATAAGGGAGGAAGGGTCACACCTCCTGGATACAGCAATAATAGCAACATCATGTATTGAGTGTTGTATTCCAAGCACTATGCTAGCTACATTATATATATAATCTCCTTTACTCTCCAACAACCCAGATAGTAGGCATAATTATTCCCATTTTATGAATGGGAAAACTAAGGCTCGGAGAGTTGAGTGCCTTACCAAGATCCTACCACTAGTAATTAGTGTAAAGTGTTGAACCCAGGTCTTGGCTGATGTTAACAGAGAGGATCATTCTGGCATCCTTGGTAATCTCTTTTTCAGGTTTTGAGGCCACCTGATTTGGTGTGACCTGCAGTGGCTGCTCTGCAGCACTTAGGAGGGACTGGGCCAACCTCAGCCACAGTGCAGTGCAAGCTGTGGGGCCCAGGACCCTCAGGGGAGCCCAGCCACTCACTTCCCACGAGGGCAGAAACTCCTGGGAGGCTTGCTACAGAGGTCTATGTGATGGAGGCTTTGCTTGGAGCCCAGCATTCAACACATGGCCCTCACTCTCTGCCTCTGTTTTTTCAGCTTTATAATGGGCATGTCAGATTTTCAAGACTTAGGTATGAACATGTAGTCAATAGTACCAGTCAATGGGGCAATGTGGAGTGGAAGATGTCAGAAAGTGTGGGCTCCCTCTCCCCCAGACCCTGCACTGAAGCCTGGGGGCCCTTCTGTGGTGTAAAGTGAGTGTCAGTTTTCTAATCTGTGAAATGAAGTGTTTGGACACAGCATCCTTCAGCTCCCTCTCAGCTCTAAGACTTAGTGAAATTCAATGTTTGTAGCTTCTTGGAGCTGCCACCACTCAGTGACCTCTAATCAACCTTGGCTTATTCTAAGTACTCAGTAAGCACTTGCTGAACTAAACCCAGGAGATTAGGAGTTTCTCAGAGGAGCAAAATAATTCCCCAGTGGGGTTCACCACACACCCTGAAGTGACCCGTTCCCACCAACCATGGGCTCTCAGAAAACACCCACATAATAAGAACTTTTGTCTCACATGGTCAAACAGGAAGAAGACCCAGAGTTTGCATTTAAAGTTGGGAAAGGAGAGAAAGCAGTTATATGCAATGCTATGGAAGAAACATTGCTTGCTGTGAAAGGTTGAGCCCCCACAGCAAACATCTTCTTCCAGCACCCTACCTCCACCCCAAGGTCCTGCCACGCCACTCTCCAGACAACTTACCCTAGGCAGGGGCTCTTAAGGAGGCCCCAGGAGTCTCAAGGCAAATCCTACCAGGGCCTTTATAAAGGAGTCTGAGGAGAGGGGCCTGGGCTGTCCTGGAGCTTCCAGGAAAGGAGGAAGGGCACGCTGGGAGAGGGAGGGGCAGCTCTGCCAGTCCTCTCGAAGGTCCTTAGCCGCCGCCCAACCCTGCTACTGTAGGGAACAGCTTCTTGCTAGTTTCCACTGCAGCCACTCAGCCCTTTTTTCCAGTGTACCTGAGATCTCCCTCTCTCTTCTTCTCTTCTCTCTCTCACATACTATATCTTTAATTCACTTTCAATGTAGTGTTTCTCACATAATTTCTCATAATCTCTTTCACACTTACCACATCTCTGTTCTCTCTACATATAGCCCTCTCTCTCCATCACTCCAGTCTTCTTTCACACATTCTTTCTCCTCCTTTGCTGTCTCCTCCTCCTCCTTCTCCTCCTTCTCCTCCTCCTCCTCCTCCTCCTCCTCCTCCTCCTCCTCCTCCTCCTCTTACTTCTCTACCTCCCACTACATCTCTCCAGCTGCTTAACTGGAAACAAAAGTGAGTTTGTTGTGTGAAGAACAGGACTTGTGGAGGCAGTGGCCAGGGTGACAGCAGGAAAAACAGGCTGGGGTCAGAGGCAGCACCGACAGCCGGAGACTCCAGCACTCGGCTATTCCAGGGAGCAGGTAATGCCCCATTCAGGGTTGATTCAGGCCTCCTGCCCTCTGCCCCACGTCATCTCTCCATGGTCATTCCATTTATTTGCTTTCTTCATGGCTTTGAAGGGGGAAGGGGACTCCAGAGTTATGGAGTAGTAGGCACAGAGTCTCAAGGGTTGGCTTGCCCTCCTCTTCAGAGAACCATGTGTGCTCTGGTATGGCTGGGATCAGCAAGAGCTGGGGTCAGGACAGCTGGTATCCAGGGTTGCTGGGATCCAGAATGGCTTGGTAAGGGACACACCAGAACCTAGAAAGACAGACAGGTCAGGGCCAGATCACAAGAAATGTTTTGAGTCTTATCTCGAAACTTAGGCTTTAGGCAGTGAGAGCTGGTGAAAGTTTTTCCGCTGGATGGTAACATAATCAAATCTACATTTTAAGAGTAATTATTGAGGGTTGGGGATGTGGCTCAGTGATAGAGTATTAATGTGAGGCTCTAGATTCCAACCCCAGCATTGCCAAAAGAAGAGTAATTATTAAACTCTGATCCCATGGAGAATTGGTGTGTGGTCCCTAGAAGCAAACAGTCATAGTCTTCTCCCAATTTGAAGAAAAAATAGAGTTTTCTCAGTTGTTGGTTTTCTTCTATAAAATTTCCTTAAATCTTGTGACTGCCAGCAAGTGTCAGCAATCAATAAGCCAATGAAAAGGAAATAAATTAAAAACAATAATAGAAACTTTTAGAAATAAAATCAACATAAATAAATGAGGTACTTTGATCTACATACAGATAAGTAATATTTTCTGCTAGTAAAATTATTTTGAACTCATGCATGATATTCTAAAGTACTACCCAAAGAGCACTGTGACTCTCAGGAATCTACTACATGAACATGTTTGAAATGTGTTAAAAACAAACTCTGTTGCTACTTGGGCCATGGTGACACCTTGCAACCAGAGTCAGTGGGACAGAGGGTGGCTACTGCAATGATAGGAGCAGGAGATGATGGAAGGCAGAGAGAGTCAGATTAGTCAAGAGGAAGGATTCCTTTTGTTCAAAGATGGATGGCAGTAGGAGTGAGGACACAGAAGGACTAAAGAGAAGACTCTTGATGGATTTCATGCCTGATAGCCTTTATTTTCTTGGTGAAGTGGGGTAGAAGATGAATCAAGAAGCTTAAAGAGAGGAGCAAAGGTTAGGAATAGCATCGAGGGTAAGAAGGGTACAGGGAGGGGAGCTGATGGGGATGAGTGGGAGGTGGCTGCACTTGAGACCTGCTGAGGGTAGACCTCTCCATTTGCACTGTTGAGTGGTTTCTACAGCAGGGCTCATGTACCTGAGGTCTGGGGTTGGCAGTGAGGGGAGGTAAGCACCTGTGAAAGTGGCTCACTTTCATCTTTTTCATCTTAAGCCCTGTGTCAGGTATTTTATTCTCCTTAAATGATTTCCTTCTCCCCACAACCCTGTTCACTTAGACTGAATTTACCCATGAATAAGTGACAACTCTGAGATTCGTGCCCAGGTCTGCGTAGATTAGAAGTCCATTGTGCACTTTGCCTCCCCCTGGAAACCTCAGACACCTTTGCAGAGAAGAACAGGTCAATGAATTCTTGTTTGGGCCTTGACTGGCTGGTTTTATCAGCAAGTCAAGAGAGAATCAAGTCAAAGATGTGATGAGAAAATAGTTGAAATTACTGACCATGGGGGGGCCTGCTGAGAAATGAGTGAGGGCAGAATGTAATGATAGACTGAGGGTATGAGAGACTGGAAGGAAGGAGAGGGTGATGAGGTTGGGAGGCAGTTGATGGGAGATTGGATCAGGACAGGTCAATGGGGTTGAGGAGGAGTGGATATATCTTGAAAATTCTAATGTGGAAGTGGAGATAAGGGAAAGACAGGTGAGGTGATGAGAACCCTAGGGTATCTAGCCTGTGCATTGGAGGGGACAGAGATGCCTTTAGCCAAGGCATTGCTCACCACTTCCACATCATGCTATTCTTCTCTCCCACTTGCTCACCATGTTCCAGCCACACAGACTGGCACATTCCTATCTCAGGGTGTCTGGAACATCCAGAATGCTCTTCTTCCAGATGTGTGTAAGTGGCTCACTTTCATCTTTTAAATCATAATTCAAATGCCTTTCATGACCTTTCTATCTCCTTTAGCTTCCCTGGTCATGTTTTGTTTTTCAGAACTCGTATTATTAACTGAAAAGGTCATTTATGGGTTTGTTTACTCATTTATTATCTGTTTCTGCCACTAGAACAGAAGCATAAGACAGCAAAGACACTTGGGTCTTTTCACAGCAATATAGTCCAATACCTAGAACAATGCCTAGCACATAATAGGCTTCCTAAATATAGGAAGGAAGGAAGGAAGGAAGGAAGGAAGGAAGGAAGGAAGGAAGGAAGGAAGGAAGGAAGGAATGTTTGGGAAGGGTGCATGTTCAATATAGGGTCACTGAGCTTTGAGGAGACACTCAGATGGCAATTTCCAGTGATCCACTGGGGATCAGGCTGGGCACTCAAGAAACACGCCCACCTTGCCAATGAAGAAAGTGGCCCACGTGGCACACTGGTGCAAACATGTTCTTTTGCATAGCTAACTACCTCTTAATGATCACCTTCCAGGAGGTAGTCAGCTCCTGAAAGAGTTGGTCAAACCAGTCAGTTTTGGAAAAAAGACCCTCCTGGGTTTGTTAGGATCAATTTGGGTTAGAGCATATTTCACTTTTCTATTCTGTTCTTGGTTCTTGCTGCTGTCCTGACTTTGGCTATTTTCCATCCTTCTCCACTGTTCAACCACCAGACTCTTGAGTCTAAATACAGACCAAATCCTTATCTCACCCACATCCAACCAAAGTAATGTGAATTCAGCTTCATCCAGAAGCTAGACTTAGTTTTACTAAATCAGGACATACTTTTCTTTTTCCTTTGACTCCTGCCCCATTTCTTTTTCTATCATGTTTTTAGTTGTAGATGAATACAATATCTTTATTTTATTTGTTCATTTTTATGTGGTGCTGAGGATCGAACCCAGTGCCTCACACATGCTAGGCAAGTGTCATACCGCTGAGCCTCAACCCAGCCTTCTTGCCCCATTTCTGTTGGTCTTGTAGCCCTCCTGCCTTCCACAGGGCACTCAGCACACCCTCCCACCCTTCCTTTTCAGGGTCTCCAGCTGCTGAGCAGCTCCAGGACATCCTGGGGGAGGAAGATGAGGCTCCCAACCCCACTCTCTTCACAGAGATGGACACTCTGCAACATGACGGGGACCAGATGGAGTGGAAGGAGTCAGCCAGGTGAGGTGGAGCCCCAGGAGGGAAATAGAGGGTGGCTTCCCACTGCAGTATTCCCCAGGGACTCAGTTGGGCTGACCCTCCCAGTGGGAGTGACACCTTGCATCTTGAGTCTGCCAGGGAACTTTCTGGACCACACATACTCTCTTGCCTTTCATCCTTTGGGGACACAATTGTATTGGATATTAAAGAGCAAACAGAAACTTGTTTTTATCCTTAAAGAAATAAAAAGCGGGAAGATAGGACAGTCACCCATGAGACCTTGAAAGAATAATAAAAGAACATATATTCTTTAATGGTAATATCAAATGGCTGAAAGTGTATGCTGCAGAAGGGAAACTCCCAAGCAGCTATGGTGGGGGTGGGGCGGGGGCTTCCTGGAGGAAGGAGAATGTGTGCTATACACAGAATGATTGTAAAATTCATTTTGTAAAGTAGGAGCTGGGGGTGTGGTGGGTACTGGCTGCAAAAATTCTGACCTTTCTTTCCCCCAGCAATAAATTGTTTCTATAGGCCAGAGCCTCTAGAGGTTCTTGTGGGAATGGGACCCATACTGGAGTAGGGGCAACAAGGTACCCAAAACCTCACAGGTACTGTGAAGAGTTCATTTATTGGGATGATGGAATCTCTGTGAGTAGCAGGGAAAATCCAGATGGAAAGGTCTAGTGGGCTGCTGGGGAAAATAAAAAAAAGATGTGGTATAGCATTTTGGGCTGAACAAGTAGAATGAGCAACAGAGGTGGAGCCATGAGGAAAGAGGGGGTGCAGAAAGAGCTTTAGATACAGGGGAAGGAGAGAGAATAGGAGACCTGGAGGGCTGGAGGGGAAGTGCTTGGTGGAGTCACAGGAGCCGAGGGAGGGTCAGAGTAAGGAGTGGTTAGTGCTGCCCATGTCTCCGCTGCCTGCCACTGAGTGGCCCCTGAATTGAACTGGCCTGGTCAACAGTGTCACATACTCCAAAAAGCCCAAGAAAAGGGAAGGAAATGATAAGAGCAGCAGGAGGGACAATGGGAGGAATGTGAAGAGGGTCTGAAAGATAGTCTTTCCTGATGTTTTTCAATCGTGTGTGTGTATGTGTGTGTGTGTGTGTGTGTGTGTGTGTGTGTGAGAGAGAGAGTCTGAATATACCCCTCCTCCCCCTGGAGGGAAAATAATTTTAATTAACTTTATTAATTAAACTTTAGTTTATTTCTAATGAGAGACATTAAATATTAAGGAATAATGTTGGTCATATTTGAGCTCTGGAGTACGGCAAATCACTAATGGTTAGTGTCAGCTACCATTTTTTTTTTTTTTCATTCTCTTAAAAACCGGTTTTTCCCTCCTGGAAGGCCATAGTGTCCTGTTGAGAATGCATGAACTAGCTCCCAGCTGTGCCCAGGACTGGCTATGTGTGGCGGCCACCGTGATACCCAGGGCCTGACAGCTCTCTCCAACTGTAGCCTGGGCTCTTCCCTCACCCACCTTCCTCAGTGGCCTAGGCAGTTGCTGTGCAGTGAGAAGCAGCAGATTTCAACATCCTTGGGATTCCCTGCTCAACTTCTTCTGCAGGGGCAATTGGAGAAAGGCCACACTGGACTAGCAAGTCCCCACAGGCCTCCGGAGGAATGAATCCCTGCTCCACAGCTGGGCCCAGCCCTGTGTGCAGTACCAGGAGCCTATTCATTGAACTCTTACCTGCTGAATGATTCACAGTCTCATCTCATTCAAGCTGCACAGTGACCCTGATGAAATGGAAACTATTTCCTGTTTTATTGATAGGATGGGGGGGGTGAAGAAGGACAAGCAGCTTGCCAAGGGTCAGAGCACACAGGTGGCTGAGTCTGGATTCTAGCCCAGGCCTGTCTGACTCCCCGGCTTGAGGGCTTAGACACTTTGTTGGGTTTTCCTTATTTTCTCAGTCACTTCCCTGCCCCTCTCCAACTTCTAGGGATTCTATTTTGACTTCAGAGGAGGACACAGGTCTAAAGGCAATTTAATATTAGAATTAGAGATAAATGGGAACAGCTGCTGAGCCCAGCAACCCTAGAACTCCATCTATCCAGAGTTGACAAGAGGGGGCAGGATATTTCAAATGACCAGTGCCCAACCTAGATTATTGTGGCTGTGAGGGCCTGGGGCCAAAGCCTGAAGCCCTGTGCATGTGTCTCTTCTGCTCAAAGTGGATGCAGAGTGAGAAAAGTGTCTTTCAGAGATCTAGAAAATAGAGGGTGCCTTCTCCCCACCCTGGGCAAGCTCTGCACTCAGAACATCCCCCACCCCAGGAATAATTGCCCGAAAGGATCACACCCACTCTGTGGGACTATCACATACCCATGAGCCCTTGCTGAGAAGGCTTCAGGGCTCTCAGAGACCCTATTGTTGCCTGTTTCTATTCTTCCTGTTTGTATGCATAGTGCCCCCAGCACCACAGACCAAGCATTGAAACTGATATAAACTGTAGATGAGAATGTTCTAAGAGGCTCCTCTTAAACTATAAAGTGTTCTGGCAGGTACCATCTGCAAGATGGTGGGTTTTTCTGCAAGGCAAACTTTCTGAGGACAGCATCTGAGGAGACCCTGGAAGGGCCTCAATATAGTTGGCTCAAACCCATGCTGAAAAGAGAGTGGTGACCAGAAGTATAAATGGCTGAAAACAATTCCAGGCAGATCCCAGAGGGGACTGGCTGAGGGCCAACTTGGAGGCAGTGGAGAACACCTGAGGGCCTCCCGACCTGACTCCCTTTTTCTACTTCTGCCCCATCCTCCTGTAATCATCTCTCCAGCTAACTTTTCAAGGTATGACCAGCAAACGCCCAGTGAAGTCAGAAGGGTTTGACCATTGGCTAAAAGGCTCACTGTGGTCTGGACCACTTGTCTGGGTCCTCCGCCCAGAAAACTGTGAGAGAAGAGGGGCTGGAGTCAGACCTATTTGGAGCCTATTACACTATCAAAAGAATAGGAAGCATTTCCTTGAGCTAGCAGACTCTGGGACCCACCTCCGGGAAGCCAGAGTTCTCAGAAGTATGCAGAATCCAAGAATTAGAAAATTATAGTCAATTCTGGGCCTCCTTGGAGTAACAGAGGACAATGATGGAGAGTGGGAGACATCCCCCCACAAAGACTCTCAGGGTCCTACAATATCCACATCAAAGAGAGTGGGGGAGGGAACCCTTTAATAAAAGTATTTAATTTGTTGCAGGGAGTGTTTGCTTTATTGAGTTAGGAGATTAAAAGAGTGAAAATCTCAAATCCGCAAGGAATTTTCCCTGGCGGTGCTTTGTCGGGGTTATTAGTTTGGGGGATGTTTCAGGCCCTTGAAGGAGTCACTCCTGCATGGGTTTAAGTGGCTTTTTGAGCTCGGCTGAGCCTTGCCCCGTGCACATAATGGGGACTGTGTGTGCCGCGTCATTTCTAATGTGATCAATGCTGGTAGGTCAGGCTGTTAATAAGATAGATTTTTATTAACTCTCTCTTTAGCATTCCCATGAGAGAAATGTAGCTTGCCTTTTGCTGATAATGACCTTGCCTAAAGGGAGGGCTGGATCAGGTGGGGTGGGGGTGAAGTCCTCACCCTGAGTAAACAGTTTGCCCAGAATTCCTTCCTGTATCAAGCCCACCTCTGCCTGATTGTAAGGGTAGGGATGGGAAGGGGTTGGAACCCACCCAAGAAAGGAGGGCCCTTTGGGGTTACTCAGAAATAACCAGAGCTTAATGCCTTCTAAGAGCTCTGAAAGCAAATTCCAAATCCAAGCTGTGCTGGCCTTAGCTCTGAGCAGACCAAGAGCGTGAACTTGCCAGAAGGCTCTTATGAGATACATAAGTACTAAGAACATTCTACAATGACAACAAAAGAGCAGAAAGAAGTGCATGAGAAGTGGGTCAGCTTAGTTGGGCCAAACCAGAGCAGTACATTTTCAAAAGCCCTGTACAGTTCTCCACACGTAGGCAGAGATGCTTTTTCACTCCATACAGGATAGAGGAGAAAGCCTGTACTTCCTGTCTCAACTCTGAATCTGTTTCCATTCAAGATCTTGTGTAATGCCCTCTTAGGATCATTTTTGCCTCTCAGTGTGGGGCAGAATGCATCTCCTGCCTTCCAGTGTCTCACCCCACCACCTGCTCCATAATCAACCTTATAGGGCCCTACATTAAAGCAGAGCAGACAGCTGAGAGCTCCCAGTGCAGAAGTCAACAAACTTTATTCATTCATTTGGGTAATGTTTACTAACTGCTTACTATCTGCAAGCCCTGGGCCTGATGCTAGAGAAAGAAAAATGGCCAGGGCAATGCCAGCCTTGCTCTTTTGGACTCTTTTGGATACCCAGGGAAATAAGTAGGTTCTGGTAAGGGGGGGGGGTGCTGTGAATGCACAGCATAGGTACATCTAACTCAAGCAGGAGGGGCTGAGGAAGGCTTCTGGGAGGAAGAGGTGTTCCCACTGAGAACTTAAGGATGGATCAGAGTTAGTAAGAGAGGTCAGCAAAGGGAGAAGAGGCTCCTAGGCCAGGATAAGCAGACACATAGAGGAACAGACAGAAGTTCCCTGTGGCTGGACTAGAAAACAAGGGGCAGAGACTGATCATGCAAGTCCTATGCACACCATGCTGTGGAGTTTGAACTTGAAGCTGAGAGACCTAGAGGGCCACTGATGGGTTTTAGTTAGGAAAGGGGCAGAATTGCGTATGTATGTGAGAGAGATTATCTGACTTTAGTGTGGAGAATGGTAAAAGGAAGCAAGACTTGGCTAGGAGGCTGATCCAGGGAAGAGATAATGAAACCCTGGACCAAGATGTTGGCAATGGGGATAGAGAGAAGGGATGTACTTGAGATAGAACTTGAAACATAGGGTTGGAAGGACTTAGTGACATGTGGCATATGAGGGAGAAGGATAGTCAAGGGAAATGCCCAGATTTTCAGTCTGAGCAAATGGGTACCTCCTGGTAGTAGTTTAGGAAACATAAAGAGTAGTAAGGTTTTAACGTGTTGGGCAGTTTTGTTTGTTTGGGGGCCTGGTTGATGAT